CCCTGGTTCTTTTCATCTTGGGTTATTTCTGAAATGACAAAATGATGATCCACAAAATTCTCAAGAGCTCTCTTCCTGTTGCTACTCTCCGCTCTCAAGGGGTGACCTGCCTAGGAAAGGATCTTTTTCTTCTTTCCGGCTACTAAGCTGAGGTAGATGTAGCCACAAGGTGTCACTATTGCTAAAATAGATCTCCACCTACAGGCTCAATTGTTATTATGTATATATAACATGGCTTTCATTTTGTTTTTAAGGAGTGTCTTTGGAAAAGGCACTTTCTGATTGGCACTATTAGTTGCCTCCTTCATTTCAAACAAACTGACCCTGAGTAAGTCTCAGATTTCTAATCTGGAAATTGGATAGAAGGAAACGATGCCTGTTTTTTAGGATAGTTGTTAGTTTTAGAGAACCTTGGTATAGCTGAGTTTCATACTGAGCATTGAGTAAGCACTCAACAAAGGTTAGTTCCCTTACCTTAAAAAGGGAGGTATGGGGCGCCTGGGTAGCTCAGTCGTTAAGCGTCTGCCTTCAGCTCGGGTCATGATCCCAGGGTCCTGGGAACGAGCCCCACATCAGGCTCCCTGCTCGGCGGGAAGCCTGCTTCTCCCTCTCCCACTCCCCCTGCTTGTGTTCCCTCTCTCACTGTCTCTCTCTCTCTCAAATAAATAAATAAATAAATAAATAAATAAATAAAATCTTTTTAAAAAAGTGAGGTATGAAGTTAAAAGGTAAGAGTAAGGGAGAAGGTGGTAACTTTAAGGGCTCTTTCTTTTCTTTTTTCTTCCTTTCTTCCTTTTGATTTTAGAGCTACAAGAATATCATCTAGGACAGAGTTCTGGTTATTGTAAATAGCTATGCCTTTAAAAATGCTTGGGCAAAGGTAAATAGTACAGCTCCCTCTGACAGAGTCACAATAAATTATTGTGTATAAATGTTAAAGTCATAATAAGTCTCTAAGGCGTTCTGTTATAAAGAAACCTCTCTAACTGACCTACTTTCCTGAATCCAGTTTCCCAAGTTTCTTTGAGCCAAGAACCTATTTTTTGTTTATTATCCAGATTGGGAAACTTTAGTGTGGCTTAATTTTGTTGTACAGAAAGGACAACAGAAACCCAGACAGTAACTTTTGGTTCACAAAACACATTTTAGAGGTGACAGAGCTGATCTAGAATTACTACTGTGTTAGAGTTGGTTTGTACCAATTCACAAGAACCAGGGTGCTCATCTCTTTCCAATCCTGTGCTTAGCAATGTCAGGTTGAAAGCCTGACATAAGCCACTGTGGGAATACTTACACCACAGAAATTGGCAATCACTACAAACCATTTTTTTCCCCAAACATCAGGTTTACCAGTATATCACCATTAGAACCCAGGCATTCAGATACCCAACCCAACATAGAGGAAGATTGTTTGCTAACTGGCCAATATCTCTTCCAACCCAACCCTAATTTCTGGGACAGCTTCAGGGGCCAGAACAAGTTCAGTGACTCCATCTACCCCACAGCTGGCCCAAAATGGTTTATTTTATAGATCTGTGGGATGCAGGATATGGGGATTTGGTGACTCCTAGGTGCTGTCCAGCTTCTCTAAAAATTAAGTCCCTCTCTCTAATATGTAAAGATAACAATAATGCGGACATCGACAGCCATCGCTAGAGTACTTGCTCTGTGTTGTGCACTGCATTCGATACTTCTCACACCCAGTCCTAGTCTCACAGAGAAGAAAACTGAAATGCAACCAAGTTTAACAATGTGCTCACAGTCACACAACTAATACCTGCTCACCAGCTAGATCTTAAATTGCATGATTTTCCCTCGAGCCACTTCAGGCTTCTTTCTAAGTATAGGGAAAGAGCAGCAGAAATCACCTGCCTGGCAGGGGCAGTCCTGAACAAAAAAATATACCAGAACCAAGGAAAATATACTCTTTGAGGAGACTTCTGCCTAGTCTGTCTAAAATTCACACTTCCCTCAGTCATGAGGGTAGAAATGGAGTTGTTCCATGCCTGGTGCAGGAGATATTACATAAATACACTGGGAGACACAGAAAGATTGCTGCTGTTGATTGTGGCTTCTGGGCAGAGAGAAAATATGGAGAGAACCAGGAGGTTAAAGTAGTTTTTACAAATAACAGCTTGGGTGTTAAACCAGAATGACAAGCTGCTTCATGCTTTTCAAAAATGGCTTCAAATCATTCATCAATTGTTTCAGTCACAACAACATTAACATCAGCAAAGCCTCTGAAATTTGAAGCGAAACTGTGGTAGGAAAGCAGGGAAAGCGCAAAGCCATGCGAGCTCTGGAGTGGGCTCTGCACTGTGCCATCCCTGGGTTATGCGCAGATGCCATGGAAGCCCAGGGCCGAGGCTCCACTGCTGCTGGCAGTGGCTCCTGAGAACCCGACACTGCAGTAAGAGTGGCTAAGAATCCCTGGAAGTGATGAAAAGGACCTGGTCCTCCAGCCACATAATGACTTGCTTAATCTCACTTTTTCTATTTGGGGGATGAAGCACTGGAGCTGTGGAGTCACTTTTGCATTCAGGCTTGGATATTCAATTTGTGCTCTCTATGGTCTACTGATTGAGCTTCACACAGATTTATCATCCTGGAGGTTTTATATATTTTGTTGATAAATTTGAATTTGATACCACAAAATTTAAACCTGAAATCGTTTCCTATACCGCTATTTATGCTTCAAATCAGATAAGTGCCACTTCTCTGCAATGGATTAGAGTTCAGTCACTCATGGTCAAACTTCCAAAATCAAGCCCTCATTATTTGAGCATGGATGAATTGTCTCTCTTTTTAAGCATGTAGTATGCAGTTCTTATATAAAGTTTGCCCGAGTCTAAAGATTCCTGTGCTGAATATCTAATATCCTGCAGAGGAAGGGCCAGCAGTGTAAACTATCATGCCCACAACTCCCTTACAAAAGAGTCCAGAGGAGCTAGGGGTGATTACTTCTATAGGGAGCCATGTTCTGTACTAACATGACCTGGAGTTATTCTTCCACACTCAACCCAGAACCTGTGCTCATGCCGGCATCTGAACAAAAACAACTAGTCTCACACTGGTTTAGGCTTGTGTGCCATGAACAGTGGAGGCGGCGGGGAGCACTGCAGTGCGGACACAGCTTGATGCAAAAAGTATCTGAGAAGGAAAAATCATCGAGTGTGGCTACAGGGTCCTTCCAGCACTGCAGCCACAGCGGCCTGTGGCTCTGCACTGTTCTCACAGCTGAGAGGCCTCCCACCTAGACAGCTGATGCAAAGTTTAACCCATGCACTCAATAACAGTAATCGGCAAACATTCCTGAATCTAGAGCTACAGCAGTTTAAGAGTGAAAAAGCATGAAAATGTAGAGTTTGATGGGATCAGCAGTTTAAAGTTAAAAAAAATAAAATAAAATATTAAATAGGATAGGCAAAACCAACTATTCATTGGCACCATTAAATGGGATTGATGATCAAACTTTCACTGCCTACCATTTTATTTTAGACCCGAAAAAGCACAACAAATTCAAAAGTTAATTATAAAAAGAGAGGGCAACTATATCACAGTCTTTGTGTGCTTATCTTCATCCACCACAGCAGCCGATTAGCAGTGCTTTATCAGAGGATGTTAGAATGCAGACACATCAACAAGGCTCACTTATTAATTCCGTGAACAAAATTAGATCATCAGAGCTTGTTCCTAAATTTCTGGATCAAAGCTGAATATTAATAAGTAAACAGACAATTCAAAACAAAGCAAAGCATGCTCCACAGAAAACTCTCCTCTCCTCACTCCCCCCCGCCCCAACCCCAAACAGAATCTCCTTCTTTGAACCTATAAAGTTTGCTCATTTGCCTATGTCAGCTTATACCCAAGGGATCTTCTGTGTCTTCTTGGTTATGGGAAGGGGATGCTTTCCAGTAGACAACCAGTCACAGTCTGACTGCTGTGGCTTTCTCAGTTTTCTTTTCACTGCTCCCCTACATTCTACCTTGTCCCCAACAAAACTGGTCTTCTCACCATTCAATAAATATAATTTTTCTACCTGTGTCCACCCATGCCATTGTTTCCAACTAGAATGTCCTTGCCTTTCAGTTTTAACTCTCAAGTCATCCCCACTTTCAAAACCCTGGCTACAAATCATCTAACATGGCCCTGAAAATAGGATATGATCTTATCCATCCGTGGTCATCTGAAAAGGTTACTTCCAAATTTTATGTGATAAGAATCACATGTAAAGCATACTAAAACTATAGATTCCCAGGCCTTACTCCCAATGATTCTGATTAAGCAGATCTGGAATGGGGCTCCATACCTCCATTAAAACAAAATACCACTAATTCTGATGCACCAAGTTTGTAGACCATTCCTGCTACAGACTGTTTGTGTCCCCTCCCACCCTGCCACTACCAAATTCATATGTTGAAACCTAATCTCCAATGTGACAGTACTAGGAGATGGGGCCTTGGGTAAGTGATTAGGTCATACAAGTGGAAAAAAAGAGACTCCAGCCAAATACTATTTTTTGAGACAGTTCTTTTTTATTCTCATTATAAAAATATAAGCCTTGGTCCTTATCTTTAGGCCTGGAAAAAAAAATTGTTAGTCTTTGGGGCATCATTTTCTTTCATTGCTCATGGTTGAGACTTGATGCCAGCTAACTTACTAATACATTCAGAAGTGGCTGGGAAATCTAAATATGTAGTCTGAATTATTTCATAAACAACTATTGTCTCAGTTTCTCCACCTATGAAAAAAATTAAGGTTTTTCATTAAGCATACATCTAGCTAAACTTAGTGAACTATTGCTTTGCAAAGAAGCCTAGACCTTATTTTACTTAATTTGCTTGTATTAAAATTATTCAATTAAAGCTGAGAAGGAAAATAAGGTGTTCCTCAAATGTTTATATGAAAGCCATTTTTCTAAATGAGTTCCTGTATGAATATACATAGCATTTTATCAAAAATTAATAGTCTCAACCTGAAAAGTATCATAGCACTATATATTAATTATCCAAAGCAGTGGCTTTATTTATGACCTCTTTGACACAGTCTTCACCTCAGTAGTCTCAACTCCAAAAGCTGTGAAGAAAATAGAAAAGGAACTGAATGTAGGTTTTCAACTGGAACTGTGTTTAATTACATCTGTTCTACACTACTTATGCTGTATGGTCAGTAACATGCTAATGAGTTTCAATTAAGTTACCTTTGCAAAACTAAGTTACCTTTGGAAAATTCTGCCAAGAAACAGATATTGGGTCATAGAAGGTGGGATGCTGAATAAATACTGTCTTGTTATCAGTGAATATATATGCTTAACCCCTTTAATTTTCCATTATCTGTGATTCAGAATCACTGATGTGTGTTACAGGGTTAAGGTCATGATTACAAGTGGCTGAGAAGGAAGTAAGAGAATTAATAGGCCAAACAACTATAACTCTAATATGTTCTATGAAACCTGAAAGGTGTGCTTTGGACTGTTGCATCCTGAGCCTTGTCAGCAGAATGTTGAGGTGGAAAGGTGACTGGCCTGAGAGAAAGGGCTGGAATTAGAACAGCATTTGTCAGCGTGTTCTTCACAGAACACTAATCCTTTAAAAATAAGAGAGGAAAGAAAGTATTCCATGGTCAAGGAACTTAGAATTGAGGACACATTACATATTGATCTCCCCACCCCACCTTGCCGATTTATACAACTTAAAGGTTCTGAAATTCCTGCAACTAAAAAAAGGCCAAAAGAGTATTTAAATTTTTTTAACCAACATCTCCTGATATTTTCCTGAACTAAACCCTTATTTAGAGGAATTGATTTCCTGGTATCTGGGAACCTGAATTTTGGGATGGTTCCTTCTATCCCTGAACTGGTAAGAGTAGCTCACTATAACTTGACTATTTCTATAAACCATGTGATTTATACTGAACACCTGCTTTCTTTCTGGAAGTCTGAGATTTAGGTATGTGCTAGGCAGAGGGTACCTACATTACCCCAATAAAAACCCTGGACACTGTTATTTAATAAGTTTCTCTGGTTGGTAACACCTTACATATTGCAACAGCACATTTCTGGGGAAATCAGCTGCACCTGTGTTATTCACTAGGCAAGGAAGTTTGTGGCTGGTTTTCCCTCTGCTGATTTGCTTGGTAGCATTTTATGGGTCCTGTGAGTCCTTCTAGCAAATTACTGAAACAGAGGGTGGCACTGGGGACCCCAAATACATGTGGTGTGCAAGAAAGAGATGGTTCTGCCCTCAGAGAACTTACCATCTAATTATGTAGAAGATAAACCAATATTTAGAAAAATTATCACTTAGAAACTTACAATTAAGATAAATACATTTTAAAAAAAAAAAGGAAGTGTGGGTTTCTATGAGAAACAAAGTAACAGCAAACTGAATCTGGACTGGGGAAATCAGCAAAGGCTGTGCTGAAGAAGTGAGAATTAGGTTGAGTCCTGAAGGATGGGTAGGAGTTACTCAAGACAAAAGGAAGGGGATGAGCAATCTGGACAAAGGGAACAACTGTGAAGGCTCTGAGACTTACTGAAGATGGCACACCTAATAAGCATCAGACCAGCATAAGAAACTGGTTCCCAGGACCTTTTTAAGTGTTCTTTCTATGGTACTTGCCCTGTATTACTACTCGGTGCCAAGAGCATCCAAAAGACTTTCAGTCCATCTTAGCTTCCTCACTCCCAGATCTTGTCACTCTGTGTATCAGAAGAAAGTCCAGTTACACTGAGGATACTTATAGGTTGAGATTGATTCCAAAGTCAAAAAATCTGGCTTCTTTTATACATACCTCATTGGTCAGCAATTGTACCCCTAATTATATACTCAACAGAAATGATGTACATATATACACCAAAGTGGATATACAATAATGTTCACAGCAACCAAAAACTATAAATAACACAGATGTTTTCTATAGAAGTATGGGTAAATTGCAGTATATTTATATAATGGAATATTATACAGCAGTGAATTTGAAAAAAAACTGGTACATGTAATAAGATGGGTGAATCTCAAAAAAATGATGAGCTAAAGAAATGAGACATCAAAGAGCACATTTATATCAATTTATATAAATTCTTAAAACATGTAAACTAGAGGCTCCTGGCTGGCTCAACTGATGGTCTGCCTTTGGCTCAGATCATGATCCCAGGGTGCTGGAATCGAGCCCCGCATCGGGCTCCCAGCTCAACGGGAAGCCTGAAGCCTGTTTCTCCCTCTCCCTCTGCCTGCTGCTCCCCTTGCTTGTGCTTGCACTCTCTCTCTGTCAAAAAAATAAATAAATCTTTAAAAAAAAAAAACATGTAAACTAATGAGTGGTGATAGAAGTGAGGATTTGAGGTATAGGGACTGGGAGTAGCATAAAAGATCCCCCGGGTACTAGTTATACTCCACTTCTTGATCTAGGTAGTGGGGACCCAGTTTATGAAAGACCTTTCTTTGCACTGTGCACTTAAGGTCTGTACACTTTTCTATAGATAAGTTTTAACTCAAAAAAAAGTTTACAAAAATCTGAGTTCTTGCCCTATTATCTTGCATTAGCAAGCCTTTTTACTGGGGACAAATCACAGTCTCATCCAGCCTCAAATTTCTCATCTAAAAGTGAATGAGAACATCTACCTGACTTTTCCTCAAATTTTAATTGAAATCAAATGCGTTACTGAATGATATTATGATCTGATTGGTAGATGTGATCTCAATGTGTGATGTCACTTAAAAAAAATCATATTGATCTCAGTTGACTCTCAATTATTCACCGCCTAATTATCTAGCCTGTGAGTTTCCTAGACTTCAGCTCTTCTCTTCCAGACTGTTTACCCATAGCAGATGTGGAAACAAAAGAAAAACAACTGTGTTCTTTTTTTTTTAATGTGGCATTGATAGTGATAGGAAAAAAGAATGGAATATGCCTTAAAAATTTATGTTGTAGTATAGTTTTAAGATTGTCAAAGTATTGCCATTGTATATGCTAACCTGAATCTCTAAAAACTTATTTTGATTACTAAAAATAATTGTTACCATTTATTGGCTATAAATCATGTAATAGACATCATAAATATATATATGTTAATATATGTGCCTATATGTAAAATATATTTTTATAAAACATAAATCTATGTAAAATTCAAAATTTTTTACATATAGAATTATTACACATAGATTTTTTTAGACTTTATTTATTTATTTGTTAGAGAGCGAGCAAGAGAGAAACAGCGTGAGAAGGGAGAGGGTCAGAGGGAGAAGACGGCTCCCCGCTGAGCCGGGAGTCCGATGCAGGACTCGATCCCGGGACTCGACCCTGGGACTCCGGGATGACCTGTGCCGAAGGCAGTCGCTTAACCAACTGAGCCACCCAGGCGCCCCTACATATAGATTCTTACTGAATCCTTGTATCAAGCTCACTGGGTAGGTTTTGTTAAAATATTTTGCAGATAAGAAAACAGGTTCAGCGAGGTTCCACTGTTTGTGTAAGGTTATGCAAGACGTAGTTGAATTAGGTTTGGTCCCTGGGATTTTTCTGCCTCCAAGGCCCCTGCTTTTTATCCACCATTCCCTCCTGTCGGCAGTGCCTTTAGAGCACAGGTTTTTCATCCACGCCTCCTAAATGGATCTGCTATGTCAATGACCACTGCAGCAGCTCTTTTATTAAACAAGTAGCAATGCCAAACAGTCCTTCTTTTGCATGTGACAAAGTCTCTGTCATAAAGAAAACGTGTAATCTATTTATTTGGTTATTCACTACATTTCACTGTTTGCCCCATACAAAATGCCTGATAGAAAACTTTTTGTGGTGAAATCACAACTTCAAAGCATTTAAAATTTGCAACATTAGAAAAATATGTATAGAAGACCTCTCACGATTTGATCTTTTTCACAGAAGTCTCAGTGTTCCAGGGACCCCTCAACCCTCCATTTTAGAATAGATCCCAGTCTCCCACCCCGAGACCCCAGATCTTTGTCCAGGAATACAAGAGATTTTTATCTAAGACTTCCCTGAACTAAAAAAAATGAAACATGACCTTTGTCACTGAGAAAAGAATATTGTTGAGGTAGAGGAACAGAGGTGAAGGGATATTGGGACATATCCCAATTGATATGTTGAAAGCTCAGGAAGTCTTAGAAAGAACAAAGTGTTACAGGACAGGTTAGAGTAGGTAAACCCAGGCATCACAGTGCTTGGATTTAGATTAGAAAATAATGATGCGACCTCTTCAGTTCTGCCTAAGAGAAGGAGGGCATTGCTGTTGGGAACCACATACAAGGTAATTAACAAAGAGGAGACACAATCAGCTTCCTGCTTCTGTATTACAGGCCCAGCCAGCATCAGTGGGGCTTTGCTCTCAACCATTTTATGTAAACGAGGTTGATGCAAAAGATCTTTAAATAAAAGTGGTAACTACCCCCCAAGAACTATCCTAACTTAACACCTTAAGCCTTCACAGAGATGTAAGCTTGCTGAGAAAGGCGGAAAAAGGTTGAGGGTTGGCTGGGTGGGGTGGGAATGAGGGCGAGAGGTAGAGCACAAGGGAAGGAAATGGAAAAAATCACTGCATATGAGAATTCTCTCAATTAAGTAGGCTGCTTACAACTTGTCTACAAACTTAAGAACTCTGTGTATCTAACTCTGTCTCTTTTCCTCTCCATTCTATCACTTCCCTAGAGCCTTTTGTCTCATCTGTAAAAGAAAGGCATAGAAATGGATAATCTCCAAGGTCCTTGGCAGCTCTGACAGCCTATGACTAATCCTTACGTGTGAATGCAGTGCTTCATAGTGTATGTAATACCACATTGCCTATGGGGAGAAAACTAGGCTGCAGTGTAGAATTATGAATTTGACCTTTGAAATTTAAACTGTTTTGATTGTATTTTTACTGTTTTCCTAAGGGAGCCGTTCATGTTGCTTTAGTACTTGGAAACTAAACATAGTTCTTAAAGCGAATTGGTGAAAATGACGATTATCCATCATTCAGCACTGAGGTCTGTCTCAAGGGCTGGTTAGAGGGCATGTGGCTATCTGAGGCAAAGGAAATGAAGCAGTAGAGGAAGTTTATTATGCCAAATGCAGTGCCCACTAGAAATCCAAGAAAGGCTAGCCTCTTGAACTCAATGGGATTTTGAACCACTTGGTGTTTGAAATAATTCACTCTTGCCTAAAGGTATAAAAAAATATCTTTCCAATTTTCCTCTTGAAATATCTCCAGCTGTCCCAGACATTTTAAAAAATAGCAGTATTTGGATGTATTGTATTTTAAAAAGAGTCAGCGAGATTCAGCTTACATTTGCCTCAAGGCTTTGTGACTTTACGTTTGCAGTCAATTTGAAAAACAGTTTTGAGATATCTGTTAAACTTCGAACACTGTGAGATTTACCCATCTCCCTTTTTGAGACTACAAAATAATCCCGTATATGTTGATAAAGAGCCAATAAATTGGCCCCTAGGAAAGAGGGAAACCATATCCATATTTCTAAATGCTTCTGGCAAGAGAGCTTGCTCTATTTTGGACACATAAATTGAACCCAGCATTAGCTCCAAAATCCGTCTTTCCTACAAACCTAAGCAAATCC